AGAGGCAGGCCCAGCGGGTACCACGTCCCTCCTGGGGCAGTGGAGAGAGGTGTGGGGGAGCCTGCCTCCACCAGGCTGGAGAGGAAGGCCACTGGGAGGGGCCAGCTGGACGTCCGTCCTCTGTCCCTCCCTGCTGTTTGATGTCCTCCAGGCCTGCAGGCCCTCTTCCGGGTGTGTTTCCACATTCCTTCGTCACTTTTAGGCATTCCTCTGTTCTTTTCAGGGGCTTTTGCAGGGGATCAGGCTCCTGTGGAAGGAAGCCTGGTGCTGCTGCCCTCAAACTGGCATGGAGGAAGAGGCTCTGCGCCAGGCAAGATCTCCTCCTCGGAGCCACGGGTGACCTTGTGTCCCTGCCTTCTCCTGCCCCACCTCCACCTGACCTCCCTCTGCCCACCCAGGGACCCCAGTTCCTACATCAGATGAAAGACCATGGTCTCCAGAGACCACTCGGCCAGCCTCATGATCACGGGAGGCCAAGACCCCATACAAATCCCCACTCCCTGGGAACTCCTCCACATCCCCTACAGCAAGCCCCAAGAGCCCAGTCACCATGTCCTGCTCCCCCCTGGCTCCCAGACAGCATTTCCAAGATCCACAGTCAGCCACCCAGTGAGAGCTGAACTCCAGTCTCCCATCAGTGGGGATGCTAGCTGGGCAGGATAACTCCCGTCACTGAATTTCTGGCTTTCGAGCTTGTTACAGTGACGGGGGCTGGGGCTAAGGACATAGTTCAGTGGCAGTGCTTGACTAGTGTGGCGAGGTCATGGGTTCCAACTTTGGCATCACCAAAACCCAACAAAAAACCTGCAGGTGTGGAGGCTTCAATCCATTTCCCAGCTGAGCTCTGGGAGAGAGCATGCCCCCTGGCCCTTCACTGTGTAGGTGGGGGACCTAGGCCTTTCCTTCCAGGACTGGCCTCAAGGCTGCAGCTACAGCTGGGCCCTGTTCCCAGGCCCTGCACCCTGTCTACTGCCCCACCACATCAGCAGAGAGCTCATCCTGCCTCCACCCGCTTCAGGAGTCTCCGATGCAGTTCTGTCCTGGGAGAGGACTCCTGTGGGACGCTGCCCCTGCTGATGACCAGCCAGCTCCAGGGATGGCCCTTCAGGGGGCAGGAAGAGGTTTGGGCACTATTCTGAGGAAAGGAGGCCACGGTCCCTGCAGCCCTGGGCTGCAGAAAGGTTCAACCTCCCCCCTTTCATTTCCTTGCAAAAGGGCTGTTTCCATTGTTCACTTTCTCTGAGCTGTGTCAACACTCTGGGCCCACAACTTCCTGGTAGCTGCTATCACAGTCCACGCTGATGCAGTTCTGGACTTGGTAATGGAAATGAGGTGAGCTCAGGAGTGTAGTGGAAACCTGCTTGTCACATGAACAGCCTAGGTGACACAGCACCATGTCTGAACGCCACAGCTTCTGAAAAGGTTCACTTCTGCTGGCAGGAGGTACAGGTCCCTGCCACACAAAAGTTCTGGGAAGGGGCCCAGGCCAGCCTGCCCCCACCTCATGAACCCTCCCTGCACACTCTCCCCACCCTGGCCCCTCCCAGCTGTGTCTCTCTTCCATCCACACGCTGACACCCCCCTGGCCTCCGTCAGGACTTCTGTCCAGAACTCCTGTGGAGGGACCTGGAGGGGACAGACACTCTGAGGCCAGCACTGGGCCCAGCCTTGAGAGCTGTCCTCACCTGTGTACCAGGAAATGAACAACAGCACCCTGTTTTTAGTTATTGTGGTAGTTATTTAAATTATTCAAAAGTCAGCTTACGAATAAATTTAAAAGAAAATCAGAAACAGTGAACACCTTGATCAGGAACTTCAGTAAGAATTTAAACAGAAAACCTCTTTGTATGTGTATCCCTAAGTTTGGAAGTGCAGGGGTCATAAAAGATGAAAGAGTACTGAGTTCCTGTGAGATGGTCCGGGTGCTGGGTGAGAAGTGAGCTCTTCACTCCCTGATGCTGAGTCCGAGGTGCTGGTGAGGACCTTGTCACCTGAAGGCGGCTGTTCCCTCGATTCTACCGCCAGAGCTTTTCTTCTCTGCCACCAGGGGCAACGAATGCAAGGCTTGGGCTCGCTGCGCTCAGCAAGCGGCAGCCCGGACTCAGCCTGCTCCACGAGGCGGCGTCATCCTCCCGGGGAGGGAACACGTTTCCCCAGTTTCTTACGATTTCGGTCTTGGTGAGCAGGGTCGGGGAAAGGGAAACCGTAACGACGGCTAACCCTGGGAGGATGGAGAGCAGACTCCTGGCGCAGGACGCTACGTGCCTGAATCTCAAAACCGCGACGCCGGGAACGGAGACTCCCCGGAGCACGGGCCAGTGCTCGCTCTCTGCGCTCCGGGACGCAGAGCCGAGACGCTGCAGGGGCCGCGGGCGGGCAGAGCGCGAAGGGCCTGGGGAACGTCCCGGGCCCGCTGCTCGGAGCGGTCGCCTGCGCTGAACTCGCGACGCGAGGTTGAGACCGCGCGCTCCGCGGTCCCTGAGCCTGGCACCTGCAAACCCTCGGCCCGGGCCAGTGCGCCGGAGCTCGGGGCGCAGCCCGCGAGGCCTGGCTACCAGGTCGGGCTCCCGCACTCGCGCGCCAGCCCACACCCGCCGGGACGCCGCAGCCGGGCGCCGAGGCTCGGCGCGCGCTCCGGGAGGGATCTGGACGGGCAGGGCCGGGCGCCGGCGGCCGCAGGTGACGCCGACCTCAGCTCACGTGCCCCATGGGTCTCCTGCGGCGGGGGGCCTCAGTTCCGAGGCTACCGAGACGCGGCCCCGGAGGACCCGACCCGCGAAGGTTCCGGGGATGGCCCTCCTCGGCCGCCGTAGCCCACACGGTCGCGGTCTCCCTGAGCACATGACCCAGGCCTGGCCAGTCACAGGACGTCAGAGACAGGCACGTGACCCACGATGGACCAATGAGAGCCCAGCCGTGGACGTTTAGGGTGGAGCCCGAGTCAGTTGAGCCGCTGGCAGGATTTTCACTTTCATTTGAAGACTGCCGAGTGCCCACCCGGGTCCCCGGGAAACTTCCGTTCAGTCCAGGCCCGAGCGCGCGGGAGCCACGGCACGCGTCGTAACGGATGGCCAGCCCCGAGGTCCCCAGGGCGCCGGCGGTTCGGATCCACACAGGGCACACGCGCCGCGTGGCAGGTGACAGTCTCCAGGGACTCTAGTTGCAAATCACGGAAAGCCCTTCGCTCTGGTCCTGAGAAGTGGGCGGAGGACGCCGTCGGGCAACACACCCTGCAGGTGCCCGAGACGGGAGGGCAGCGGGCATGGCCCTCTGGACCACCCACCGCCCGAGGAACACTGGGACTCGTCCGCCACAGTGCCTTTGCTACCAACACCCTTGGTGTCTGCCCTATTCCGAGTCGAGTAGACGTCACTGATGACCGATTTTACTTTTCCATTTCCCAGAAAGAAGGCTGTACCCCTTAGCAGTCACTCTCTCCGCTCCTCCCCCAGCCACAGAAATCTGCTGTCAGTCCCTACAGATCTACCTTTAATATCCCATGGGACATACTGATACTAAAAAATTATCTGTTGCTTATGACTTCCCAGTAAGAACCCTAAAGCTTAGGAAATAATGCCAAGAATTAATAAATGGGATGGCCTCAAATTAAAAAGCTTCTGCACAGCAAAGGGAGTAATTAGGGAAATAAAGAGAAAACCAACAGAATGGGAGGAAATCTGACAGGATTAATAAATAGTATATATAAAGAATTCAAAAAACTTAGCAGCAAAAAAAGCAAATGATCCGATTAATAAATTAATAAATGAACCAAACATACATTTCTCAAAAGAAATACATACGGCCAACAAATATATGAACAAATGTTCAACATTGTTAACAATTAGGGAAATGCAAATCAAAACTACATGAGGGGCTGGGGTTGTGACTGGGTTTGATCTTCAGCACCACATAAAGATAAATAAAGGTATTGTGTCCATCTTCAACTAAAAAATATTTTTAAAAAACTACATTGAGATTTCATTTCACTCCAGTCAGAATGGCAGTCATCAAGAATACAAAAAAATAAATATTAGACAAATGTGCAGGAAAAGGGACACTTTTACACTGTTGGGGGGACTGTCAATTAGTACAATCACTATGGAATTCAGCATGGAGTTTTCTCAAAAGTCTAGGCATGGAAGCACCTTATGACCCATTTATACCACTCCTCAGTATTTATCCCAAAGAATTAAAGTCAGTATACTGCAGTGGTACATGCATCCCTATGTCTATAGCAGCAGGATTCACAAGAGCCAAACTATGGGCCCAGCCTATGTGTCTATCAGTGATGAATGGATAAATAAAATGTGGTGTATTTTGGAGTTATATTCAGCCATAAAGAAAAATGAAAATATGTCATTTGCAGGAAAATGGATGAACTAGAGACCATCATGTTAAACGACATAAGTCAAGCCCAGAAGGTGAAGGGTTGTATGTTTTCACATGTGCAGAAGCTAGAGAGGAAAACAGCAAAGGAAGGTAGGGGTGAATCTCTTGAAAACTGAAGGGAGATCAGTAGAGGAAAGGGACCAAAGGGAGGGATGAAGGGAGGGGGAAGTGCTGGAGAGTGATACTGGCCAAATGATAATCATATTGTGTACATGTATGAATATGAAACAAATCCCACCATTACCTACAACTATAGTGTACCAATTAAAACGTGGAAAATTTATATTTTGCTTATCTGAAGTAAAAATCTATCTATACTTTTTTTATAACTCTGGCCACCCTGAGGTGGGTATTGGGGCACCCTCACCTAGGAGGTGATAAGAACCCATGGACGTTTGACACGCATCACTACCACCTCCAGGTTTCCAAGGAGACAGTCGGGCATCCGATCCCATCCCTGACTCTGCATGGATCCTCAGGGGCTCTCCGGCATAGCCCTGTGAAGTTTCTGGACTCAAGGTGTGATGCCAGGAGAGGGAGAGTTAGTAAGGGTGATTTTAGGCCTAACACACCCAGATCTTTCAAATTTTTCTTTATTCCATACTTACTAGTTCTCTTTCCATATTTAAAAATAGTTCTATTTGAGTGTTTCTTAAATTGTGACATTAATTTCTGTTCTTTTTCTTTTTTTTTTTTATAGTTGGACACAATACCCCTATTCCATTTGTTTACTTTCATGTGGTGCTGAGGATCAAACCCAGGGCCCTGCACATGCTAGGCAAGCGCTCTACCGTTAAGCCACAATCCCAGCCCCTATTTTTTCATCATCTCCCATAACTTCACAATGGGTATCCTGTGGCTGGTGCATCGAGTGGCCAGTCTTCTCCCTGCCAGGTCAACAGATGCTCTCCAGAAAGTCAGTGAGGCTCTGCAGCTGGCTCACCAGCTTTCTATCTTACAACCAATTTTCTTCTTTTATTTGTGTTTTGTTTTGTTTTTGCAGTGCTGGGGGTTTAGACCCAGGACCTCGAATATGCTAGGCAAACACTCTACCATTAAGCTACATCCCCAGCCCGTTTTTAAAAATTATTTTGAGATAGGGTCTCACCGAGTTGTCCTAGCTGACCTTGAACTTGATCCTCCTGCCTCTGCTCCTGGGTATTGGGACCACAGGTGGGACCCTTGCCTGGCTTCCTTCTTTCTTTCTTTTGATGGACCTACTTTAGGCAGTCCCTGGGTCATGGAATATGATTCCATCTCAGCACTCCACTGAATCATTCCTTGCTCATTCCCCTGACCCACGGGCAACCCTGTTGATGTGCTTTGTGTGCTTCTATTTTATCATCTCAAGAAATGATAGATTTAAAGACCCATTGTTATTAGCAAGCTGGGAGTAACAGGGAAGACCTTTAGCTTGTTGTGGGAACAATCAGAAAACTAAAGCAATTTTTAAACATTTTTTCGGTAACATTTTTAGTTTGGAATGAATTTAGGCTTACAGATCAGCTGTGGAGATATCAGAGAGTTCCCACGACCTCACACCCAGTTTCCCTTCTGTTAACAGCTTCCATTAGGGCCAGTGTTGGTGCATCACTAAAGCTTATACTTCATCCAAGTTCCCCGAGATGCTTTTCTCTCCAGGATCCCATCCAAGATCCCACGTGACACTTACTTGTCCTGTCTCCTCATGGCTATGCTTTTCTCAGACTTTTCATTGTTCTGGTCTTCACAGTTAGGAGCACTGGTCAGTTTTTACACTATCCCTCTGCTGGGATTTGCCTGATGTTTTCCTCCTGTTTTGACTGGGGCTTGGGATGTTAGGGAAGGAAGATCACAAAGTGCCTTTCCCATCTCATCGTTTCAAGAGGCAGTGCTCCAATGAAGGATTCTTTCCCCCAACTCCTCATGCTGTAAGTCAGTATGCACAGTCCACATGGAGGACCAGGAAGCTGATGGGCAGCACCAGTGGTCATTCTGTCCACTGCTTGCACAGACAGGCCTCTGATGTTCCAAGAAGTGATCAGGACAGGGTTGGATAGAAGCCTGCTGAGAGCCTCTGATGGGGAGGGTGGTTAGAACCCGAGTCTGGAAGTCTCTGGGCCAAGTGCCTGCCATTGCCTCAAAGCCTGGAGCACCCAGACCCCAGACCAAGCCCAGCTGGCTCTCCACCACTCTAGGGCTCCCCCGAGCCCCGCAGGCCTCCTCTCCACGGAACCCTTGTACTCACCCACGGTCAACAGAGCTGAAGAGCTTCTTGCTGCCATGTGGGTTCTGCGCCTCCATGGCCTTGTGCAAGAGGCAGGCCAAGCCTGGAGGGCTCCTGGTCCCTCCTCTTCAGAGTCTGCAGGAAAGGATGCCATCCTGCTAGGGGGCCACTGTCCATTGCCACAGCCGGGGCAGCAGAAAGGACCCATCGTCCCCACTAGCGCAGAGCTCTTCTTGTCCGGAGGAGAGAGCGTATTGACGGTGTCCTGTGGGAGAGTGGGGCAGATGCCAAGAACCTTGGTTAATTCCAGCTTCCTGGGGAAGCCCACCCACCGGGGCTCTGTGGTCTGCCTGAGCTCAGGAGGGTATGGGGCTTCTCACAACGCCAAGGCAGAGGGAGGGATGTTCCTGAGCCAGGAAACCCTGGGACACCTTTGCCCACAAAGACCGGAGCTGCACCCAGCCCAAGGGCCAGTCAGGTCCAAGCATCCAGTATTGGGATGAGCATCCTAGCTCAGACTCTAATGTCAGACCTGAACCATCTCCGTTCAGAGAGCACAGCCCCTGCCTCAAATATCCACAACGTGGGCCACCTCTGCCTTGTCCAGGGCTAGCATAGTAGAACTCCTGCCACTGCCTGGCCTCTTCGGGGGTCCATGCTCACCTGACCCAAAGCCTCAGCAGGAGTCCGTTCCACTGAGGCCACCTTTGCATGGCCAGGGGTTGCTGCAGTTGGGGGCTGGGTCTGGCAAGAGCTCTTTGTCTTGGCCCTACTGGGCCATTCCCTGTGGCAGGGAGCAAAATCAGCCCCAGCTGAGACCCCTGGTCTCTGGCAGACTGTCCAGCTGTGCTGCCAAACCCAGGCATCACTGAGGTTGGAACGTGGTTTGAGGCTGAGCAGCTGCTTTTCTACTTTAGTTCCACATGGCCAGTGGCTGCTGTCTTGGGTAGTGCACCCGGGAACCCGGCACCACAGCCCTGGGCTCTGTCAGGCCTCAGTTGAGCTGGCATGGATCTAAGGAGGTTAGGACATGAACTCACTTCCGTTGCTCTGGTGTGGGTCAGGGATTGCTTTCCTCTGCCCAGTTAGTCATCAGGGTTGCCACCAAGCTCTGAGAACCTAAAGGACATTTTTCCTTGGGTCCTTTGGATGTCTGGGTCTCACCTGAGCCCTAGGTGACCCCAGCACTTCCTGGCCTTACCCTTGGCCTTTGGCTGGGTGTTAGCTTCATTCAACATGCACATACCCCACCTCTCTCTCCTGCAACACCCCTACATCGCACCATGGACCTTCACCCTAGCCCCGCTCCCTCTGGCTAAGGCCACTCTTTGTCCTTGGGACCTTAGTGAGTCCCCTGGAAGCTGCCAGAGGCCGCTAACAGCAGCCCTTCTGGGTCCCCCCCATAGCCTCTGTCCAGCCAGCAATTGTATTCACTTGTATGTGGGTTGGCTTGTCCATCTTCACCCCCACCTTCGACAAGGACAGGGACCCTATCAGATCATGCTACCCCCAGGGGCTCAGAGCAAAGCCTGCAAGTAAAAGGGGAAATAAGCCAGCCAGAAATGGTCTCCCGAGGTTTCTTCCAGGGGTTCCCTGGGGCAGGGAAAAGAGCACCCCATGTCAGGTCCACTGCTCCAAGCCTATGTGGACCCTCCTCAAGCTCCAGGAAGTTTCCTACCCGCCAGGCAAGAGCAGGTCCCCCGAGTTCCACCACAGACAAAGGCACAGGCTCCTAAAGCTCCCCAGGCTGTCCACAGCTCCACATCACCTCCTGGGGCTTACTGCCCATTTCCTGTGCCCCCCACACACTTCCTGGCCTCTAGCCTGCTCTCCATACCTCCCTCCCACAACAGTCTCCCAGTTGCCACCAGGAGCTCCCTGAACTTGGAGCAAGGGCCCAGAGGAAGCAGCCACCAGGTCTTTAATCCCAACACCCAGGGTGTTCCATGAAGCCCAGACCAGGGCCAGTCACAAAGTTCCGCAGTAAGCCAAGAGGGCTAGTCACATCAGGACCCAGGGGCAGAGGCTAGGGCCTTGGGCTCCAGTGGGTATGAGCCAGTCTCAAAAAGCCACTAGTGCAGGGGCTGGGGCTGCAGCTCAGTGGCAGAACACCTGCCTAGTATGTCTGAGGCACTGGGTCTGATCCTCAGCACCACATAAAAATAAACAAAATAAAAGCATTCTGTCCATACCCAAATAAAAAAAAAGCCACTAGTGCAAATCCATTTTTTGCTGTTGGAACAGAATACTACTGTCACATTCCTCACGACTAAAACACTCGGGTCACTCCAGGGGAACTGGGCTGCATGAAATAACCACACAAGAGACAGAGAGACCTTTTTCTTTGTGTCCTGTGATGGCTCCTCTGACCTTAAGGGTCTGCAGAAAGAGAGAGAGAGAGCAGGTGCTGACCCCTTTTATTGGGGAGAAGCCACTCAAATGAGGCAAGGGGGTCGGTTTCAGGGGGCTGAGTCCAGCTTCCTGATGTCCACTGTCAGCAGGTTGACTGACACCTGGGTAGGCCACACCCAAGGGCAGAGCAAGAGAAGGGGACACACAAAGGGGGTTTCCATGGAACATTCTATCCCAAACAGGGCAAGGGGTTAATATCACAAAGGAACAGGTGAGCACAGCTTGACCCCATGGGTGACACACCTACATCTGAAGTCACGCCCTCAACTTCTTGAATGGGGACAAGGTCCAAGTCACTGTGAAATGTGGGGATTGGTCAGAGCCTCTTGCTTCAGTATGTGAAGGCTGGGTCATTCAGAGTGGCTCCCCACATACTACCCACTGGGTGATCTACAAGGAATACAGCAGGGATAGGGCATTTGCCTAGCATGCGCCAGGCTCTGGTTTCATGCCTATCACCGAGGGGTCAGGGGCCAATCAATGAGCAGAGATAAATTTCTTACCCTTTGGAGGCTGAAGAGCCCAAGGTCAAGAGGCTTGCATCTGGCAAGGGCCTTCTGTGCCATCCCCCTGTGGAAGGTAGAAGGCCAAAGGACACGTGTGAGGGGTGGAGGCGCCTAAGTACCCCCTTGTGCCAGGAGCCACTCCTGGGTCTACTTGAGCCCAGAACCGTCCTGTCCTGATCACTTTCTGAAGGGCCTGCCTTGCAGCTCTGTCCCACTGGCCTTGTCCACAGCACCTGAACTGTGAGGGACACATTCAGACCACAACCCCCAGCCTTGACGCTGACCTGCCAGCTGCCCAGGACCACCAGTTTGGGGCAGAGGCAGGCCTCCCCTGATCATCCCCACAAGGATCCTGCTACCTCCCATTTTGCTCTCTCCACATGGTGGCTCTATTTACAGTGTGGGCAAGACTGAGGGGCATCCAGGCCTTGGCTTTGCAGTAGGTGAGTGGGGCACAGGATCTCTCTGCAAAGTCGGCAAAGGAGCAGCAGGGAAAGGTGGGATGGCCCTTTTTCGCAAAATCTGGCTATGGTTCAAACAGCAGACTGAAGGGAGTAAGAGTAGTTACTGGGGCAGGGGCTAGCACACCAGCCAGCAGAGAGCTTCAAACACCACACAGGGGGTTAACTCCTCGCTGCTGGCCATAGAGACCCACCAAGGTTCTGGAGACCTCTCCTGTCACGTGGAAGTGTGAGTGAGTGAGTCTGACTGACCCCAGGCTGAGGCCCCCTCGGCACAGGCTGGAGGTCCCCAGGGTTATCACCTCTCCGTCACTAAGGGAAACACAGGTACTGCAAGATGATCCAGGGCTTACAGAACATGGCCCACAAATCGGAGGCCCCCAACTGTGTGTGGGGCAGCACCTACCAAGCACTCCTTGCAGTGTCTAGGGGCATGCTCAGCTTTTCAGGTGGTCAGTTTGGGACTGCTCTAGCTGCAAGCTGAGCTTGTGGGGGCATAGTAGTGGAAGGAGAAAGAAGGCGCTGGTGTGGTTCCTGAAGTCAGGTTCTATCCCAGTCAGAAATGATCTGGATCCTAGTGCAGAATTATGACCTTAACTCCCACACCCAAGGGTTGGCAAGCTGCCAGGAGAGAACTGACACCAGTCACTAAGAAGAAAGCGCGAGGAGCTGCAGTCAGGTCAGAGGGATGCTGGGACCAAGAGCAGGTCGTGGCGGGGCCTGGGATGCCTGGTGGGGGGAGGTGTTGGACAGACAGCAATGAGACAGACGGGAGCACACAGGATCCCACAGCCACTCACTCCACTGCTGTGAGTGAGGGGTTCAGGCCACGTCTTGTACTGGACTCTCTTCTTCAGGGCAACTTGACCTGGTGGTTGTCAGTTGGCCTCTGACCAGGCAAGGTCAAGGGTGGTTTCCAGCCAGGAGAATGGGGAGGGAAGAGCTAAAGGGGGCCTGGCTAAGACCAGTGAGATTGTGCTCACCCTTTGCAGTCCAGCCAGGCACAGGCCAGTGGCAGCGGTTCAGGGGCATTTTGGGGGTGATCCTGCCCAGAAAGAGAAGTCATGTTTTTTGTGGGAGTAGTGCCCCCTGGATACTTTGTGCCTCTGCCCAGCCCAACGGACCCCTCATGGGCAGTTTATCCTCCCCACAAGCAAGGTTAAGAAGTGCCCGTTTGGTGGCTCTTCTGTATGTCAGAGGTCCCTACATACTGCCATAGTGCTAGTCACATGTGCCAGAACATGGGTGGTCTATCTGTCCAGCACACAGTGATTCCTTCAGACTCCCAAGAAGCATCAGGGCCACAAGCAGGTTAAAGACAAAGCAAGACACTCCCAGGTGTCTCTCTTCCTTCAGACTTGATGACACAATATCTGACATGTTGGCTGCTTCTTCTCTCTGGTCTCATGGCATAAATTCTTTTTTGGGGGTGGGTACCAGAGATTGAACTCAGGGGCACTGTACCACTGAGCCACGTACCCAGCCCTATTTTGTATTTTATTTATATTTTATTTAGAGACAGGGTCTAAGTTGCTTAGTGCCTCGATTTTGCTGAGGCTGGCTTTTGAACTCATGATCTTCCTGCCTCAGCCTTTTGAGCTGCTGGGGTTACAGGCAGGCACCACCACGCCCTGCCATCATGGCATAGACTGTTGATGTTTTAAGTCTCTGGGTCTGGGTCTGTCTTACTGCCACGTGCCCAGCTTGGACTGACTATACAGTCTGTGACTATCTCAACGCAAAATGTCCAGCGCTTGATAATGGACTTCTGGCAGGTGCTGCCCTGTGGGTACAGAAGAGCTTTAATCCACAGAGCAGGTGCCAAATGTTCAGACATAGGCATCAAGCTGTCCAACGGTCAGGCTGTTGGATGGCCCTTCGTTTTCTGCTGGGCTGTGAGCAGAGATGCATGATGAGAGAGCCTGTGCCTGCACTTACTGTGTGGGGCTTCTCTGGGGGATTCCTCTGTCTGAAGCCAGTTGTCAACTTGAACTTCCACATCCTTGTTTGCTTTTTCCAGAAGCAAGTTCACATTCAACAAGGATCAGATAAAGATGTTGACTTGTGTCCAGGCTGATGGCACTGCAGGGAGAGGAGACAGATGTCTGGGCCTCACCCTCTGCACCCTTGGTGGTTTCACCATCCACCCATCTTATTGCCCACTTTGAGGGCCCCAGAGGTGGACAGAGGTGGACCAGGAGGCCAGCTCTTCCTCCCCCTTCGCTTGGTACTGAGAAGGGGTGGGCAGCCAAACACCGCAGGTACTGATGTCCTGCAGCGCCCAAAGTCCAGAAAATGGCAGCTCCTGTCAGGGTGGACTGCACACTTATGACCCCTGATCCAGGGCTGGGACCCTCTGTCCTCGTGCAAAGGGCACTGCCTGGCACCTTTCCCAGGTCTGTCGAGAGGACCGGCTGGCTTCCCTGACACTTGCAACCCAAAGCCCCGAGCGACCCAGGGGAGCCCGCCAGTGGGAAGGCGGAACAGGCCCGGGATCCCGGAGCCCAGAGCGGATGCAGCTGGGCGCATGCGCCAGCGCCGACCGAAGCATCGGGCCCCGCCCCCTTCCCCGCCCCAGCGGCGTGGCCCCGCCCCTCCGGGTTGCTAGGGGAAGTGACGTCACAGCGCGATGGCGGCGGCTCCTTTAGGCAGCTGAAGGGGGACTTAGGCCCGGAAGATCCGAGTCCATCCGCGGCGGGGAGAAGGCAAGCGGGGCCGGCAGGGGCCGGAGCAGCGGCGGCGGCGCTCGGACTGTCCCATCCGCCCCGTATTG